GCTAATGCGAAATTTATTGCTTTCTGACGAATTGATGACGAATATATGTATTTAAGGTACAAACGAGTCCAGTGGAAATTCAAGCTAAACGCGATTCATTGAACGCACCAGAATCAGATGTTCTCATTAGGCAGTCTGAGGCACGCATGTCGCCCGCTATAAAGAAAGTGAACGACGAGGAACGAACAAATCTCTTACCTAAACAGGATAATTCTTAACGCTTGCAGAACGGTCGACAGCACTCGATACTGTCGACGAAGTCAGTAACGTTAAAAGCATCGAACAACACAGAGCGAAACATGCTGGCATGACATATTTCGCTACTGTGACACTAGATACTCCATGAAATATTTAGGTATTTATCGCGAAACAGGCACCTCATGTTTTTTGCGATTGGCTTAACTGTACCCGTTTTTCGTGAACCAGTAAATTTCATAAATATAAAAAAAAAAATAACTTTACATCGATAGTTTGCATAAAGAAAAGAATAATACGTAATCAGTTGATGATATAGCATTTCATAGATAATAAATGATAAAATCAAGATATACTCGATTATACTCGATAAAATCAAAATATACTCGACTATATCTATTTGAAGCTTATCTAATTACGCACGAAAAAAAGAAAATAAGAGGATTAAAATTTATTTAGTAACAGTCGGTTTTTTTTATCTTAAAATAAAAAAATTACTTTTATCTTATGCTTGCATGTATCAAAAACTTCTCTCTGTCTTTCTTAAGATTCTTTTTATATTTCTAGATTTTATATGATTTTATATGCATCGCATACGTAATGTTTTATCAAAACACTATTATTACGATTGTTTCAATACAAGTAAACGAATGGTATTGCGGGTACAGTTTTTAGCTAATTGAAAGAAAAGTGATAGAAACTACGCTGCAATAATGCCTTGACATTATTTTGAATATATTTTAGTACGAAAGATTCGTTAGAGAACAAAAGTAAAATATATGAAATTAGCCACACGGTCGAATATTATCATCATACATACATATATATTAGAAAACAGTACAAATGAATGAGAAAAAAAGGTTGAAGAAGGTTTAGTATATGTTATTCAAAGGTCACTTTCCCCAAAAACTTGAGAGTTTAGTTACTTTTTTTTTTAGTTGTGTATACAAATCTAAACGTACATGATAATTTGAAATGGCCCAATTAGCGAGTAGCAGCGAGAAAATGACTTGATGTATAATTGATATAATTACTTATACTTATATTGTGTGCCTTAACAAATTCTCTATATAGATATTATCGTTGTGTGTTTAAATCAATTTTACTAGGAGTATTTTTTTCCGCTTTTTCTTTCTCTTAAGACACTGAGGTCTTATCAATACGTTAGTTACATTCCTATCATAGCTGGTGCAGTCACGTACTTATATCACTTTTTCTTGCGATTTATTATCCTAACGAAAGGATCTTAAGATGAATACAGGAGATATGTGCTGTTTTTCTTACGGTACTGTTAAGTAAGATTAAGAAACGAAGTAAAATTTCGTTTTTTGTATTTTTTTTTGTTTGATTTGCATTTGATCTTTCCTTAGCAACAATTTAATCGTTTCCGATTAAAATCATATGTAATATTATAATTTAGCTAAAACTATATTGATATAAAAACTATATATTTGTATTATACAAATGTAAATACAAAATGAGATTTTGATATTGTTCTCTTCGTAAACTTTAAATAATTTTCTTTATTAGGTGCTTAATAAATTAATTTGACGACTGATTGATTTATTATCTTAAAGTGATATTTTACTACGTGAAAATAAAAGATTAAATGTTTGCTAAAGAAAATGTTTGTTTATTTTAAGAGTAAAATTTTTCTAATCTAGGATACCCTAGAATATTCCGAGTAAAATCTAAATTATAAAAGTTTTTATTATAATTGTCTAATTTTAGAAGTGAATGCTTATGTTTTAAAATTTTTTTTCACTGCGTAATATTGTTAATACTTTTTCAGGAGTCTAATTTGCTTAAACTGTTGGTCTCTGTTTTATAAAATATGAGGCAAATGTATATTATAATTTATGATGTTGTTAATTGAGTACTTATATGTATATTAAATACATTAACGTGATGTACAACTATACTATAATTATTAGGCACAAAGCGAGCCTTTCTATGCATCTACATGAGGTAATTCTATATTAGCAGACCTGAAACACACAGTAGAAGTAAAATAGAATTGAAAAACAGAAATTAACTTAAAATACGTCTGCATAATCTGCTAATCGTGGATTGCCTCTATATTGAAATATTTTACAAGGTGCAACATCTGGTTTTGGATTCTATAGAACGTAACGAGATAGGAAATGGTTACCTGACACATTGTTCTTCGTAGGTTATATTATTGATCGAAGTACTTACAAAAAGGAAATCAATAAGAGAACTGCGATGAATATTATTAATATTTTGTACTATTTGAGTCTAAAACACAGAAATATTATATGTAGAGAAGAAATATATTACACCTGATAAAAAAGAAACAGCATTCTATTGCAGGCTAATAGGTAGTAGTATCTAGATACAATAAACTGTTATATATATGAAGTTACAGCATGAAAACTAAAACGTGACATTTTTTACAGCCATGATTTACACACAGTATATATAATATAATGAATGTTAATATGTATGCTCTTCATTTTACATTTATATTTATTGAGACTTGTCATGTCTACCATTTTTAAATAATTATTTTATAATTCTTATTTAGTAAGTTTGTACTTACTGCCATATGTTTAGTATGTTAAGATCGTTGGGTCCCCACTTAGCATACTTATATTCATTTTCAAATAAAGCATGAAAATTATTGCCTCCAATTATTAGGAAAAATTAATTATATATGTAATATACGCCAAAAGTATCAACGCTAGTAAACAAAGCGAGAGTTAAAAAGCCAGATGATTCTCTTGTAAAGGAATGTAATTTCAGTAATTGAATTCAGTAACAAAGAGAGCCGATCTGATGTGTGACAAAGTTTTATATGAAACAATATTTATCACAATAAATATATGTTCTTCCTTAAATTATATTTGATTATCTTTACAAAATGTCTAGAAATTAGATATCACAACTGCTATACTTTATCGTTTGTCCGATTCTCTTCGCATCGTTTTTTCTATATTTTCATTTTATATAAGAATTATAAAATTTCTAACAACTTTTTATATCTTTTCTGTATAATAATTATAATTATATAAATATATATATGTGTGTGTATATATATATATATATATAATCTGCCTAGAAGACAATACTAAGGCACATAAAAATATATAAAGTGAATAAGTACCTGAAAAGATTGTAAACGGTAATTCTTTATACATTCAAGACGAAAGCTTCCGACTACATATCCAAAACAATTTAGTTTTAAAGATAGTGTTAAAGAAAAAATTTTTTGTCCAAAAATTTCGAGAACCACTCGGATTATTTTGATGAACTTTTGTATTTTAAATTTAAAGTTTCATCAAAATAATTCGAGTTTTCGCAATTTTTTAAAAAAGTAAAATTTTTGCTCCAATATTGACACCCCGTGTCTTTGAAACTAAATCATTTCGAACATATGATTATACAGTTTTCCTCTTGAATTTTTGTGAGGAATCATACCTTATCTTTTAAAGTATTTAGTATTCCCCTTGTACATAGCACATATGTACAAAAATATAAAACAAATATAAAATCTTCAGCATTTAAAACTCAATACTGTACAGCATTATGTACATCAAATTAAGAAAGTCATAAAGTTTGTACTAAAATATTAATTAAAGAACTAGCGTGTTTTCTAATACAATACTAAGAAACAAATAGAATATTGTATATTTAAAACATTTATATCAAATTTAAATATATAAATAGTTCCTCAAGTATCTTTATATCTGCTTAATTCTGCACGTACGATTTTTTTTATTTCGCATAATTTTGTCATGTTTATTTCTTTTCTCGCTATTGATTGTAGCAACGACGATATTTTAGTATCTATAAAGATAGTTTTGTCTTCCTTTGATCTTCCTTTCCTCTTAATATGCTGCACCAAAGGGTTTATAAAATTCTGTACGAGGCACCATGGACGTTGTTCGTTCATCAATGTAATTAAATCCATACTGATAGATGAAGAACGTAATATTTGATTTTTATTGATGGGCATTTTTATCTTGAGTGCATGACTTTCCACGACTTTCTTCATGCAGAATGTACTTTGATTTTTAGAAGCAAGAGAAAGCACCACATAACTACTTTTAGGCAGTTTATCTAGGATATTTAAACCAAGATAACGATGCTTGCACAGTCTAGATACTTCAATATCAGAACTTATTTGTAGTTTTTGCTTGGCAGCATAGATATTTATTCTTTTCAGTTTATCTTGCTCATCTGACAAAACCTGATAGAGTGCATTGAGCTCCTTTACTTTGGCACAAATTTTCTCCATGATAATATCTGTTTTTTGAAACATTCTGTTATGAAGAACAATATTATTATCGATTGACAAAGAATTATCCAACTCCTCTAGAGACACCTCAATCAATTCCTTCCTTTGTGAAAGACCTAGAATTATATTTGGCTTATAATACTGCATACATGTAAACGTTCTCTCTTCTACTTTCGCCTCTTGAATCATTTCAACGAAGAGCTCCTTTCTTATGTAATATGTCCTGAACTGATTACAGCAAATCATCCACAAAATATTTTCCTTTTGTAGACTGAAAACAGCACAGAGCATCGTATTGTTATTTTCTCCAAGGTATATTCTTTCAAAAACCAGTCCACGTTCTCCTGTACACTTGTTATCTGTATCATGTATCAAGATTACCAGATTCGCTTGTTCTGTAAGAAGCAGTAGACCAGCTACCTTATCTCGTCTCTTCACAGGTAGGATGTCCACGATAGTGTTGTCACTGATGTAAACCAACTGTACGGTATCGGCCCTCAGCGTATACAGTTTCCTGTGATATCCGACAACGCACAGATTTCCTTCAACTTCCCAACCGGCAGTGAAACGGCTCATGAGCCGTGGCTCGGTGCTCGCTGGATTCAGAGGAAAAGTGCACACTGTCTCGCTCGCATTCGGTATAAGGGGAAACAACAGCGTGGAGGACTTTACTTGTTTGTTGTCGAGATAGACGCCGTTGTTCTTAACGATGAGCACCTGGAAGAACTCGCCGCCCATGCCCAAGGCGTTTTTGCTCAGCAAAGCGAACTCGCCGTTCCGCGACACTTTGTACGCGCCCTGCGGCGAACACATCAGGAAAGCTCTGCTGTCGAAGAACTGTACTTTCTTGATGGGGGCTGGAGCCGACAGAATCCGCCTGTCCTGCGTTGAGCTGACCTTCGTGTAGGGATAAATCATGAGCTTGTCGGTGTTCCAACAAAAGCATGTCTCTACGTCGTAAAAGTCGCACACGACAAAATACCTTGGAACGATTTCTTCCTCGTCATCGATCGCATACATCCTATCGTCTTCTCCTATCTCACATCGCATATCAACGAACTCACGCTCACGCAGTCATGTCACAGGAATGTACAGTGATACCAGAATCTGTCAGTTCTTCTTCTTCTACCCTCTACTAGGTCCATACAGACTCACATGCAATCTGCCAGTTATCTCTGATTCTATCATGAGATAACTGGATACTTGGAAAACTGGTGAATTCCACCATGAGGTGTTTGACAGTTGTGAATTAAAGGTACCACTTTATGCTGACGTTTATTTTTAGCATTAAAATAGGTGATCAAAACTGACGCTTGATATTTGTCAATTTTTCTCAAGTGATTTATTTTGGCGTTAAAAATGAACGTCGAATATCAGCATGAAAAGGCACCTTAAAAAGGAAGTTAAAGCCGGCGGCACATAACGCTTGTGTTTTTATTAGATTGCTAGACTTCCACTTATGGTGCGGCCACAATAGAAGGAACAAGGAATCCAGCCTATCAGAAACCGTGTATTCCAGTGTATCCAATATCTGATAGGTTGAAATTCTTATTCTCTGTTCTCTGTTCTCTTCCTTTTATTATACGAAGCTTCTTAAGTAAAATGTAGCTTTAACTAGAATAAATTCTTACCACTGTATTGGCTACGATGCTGATATTGGCTGTGTTCCAAAATTGACTGCCAATACTGAAAATCTATAGTGCACGTGACGTAAACTATAGCATTTTCAGTGCTGACAATAAATTTGGAACACAGTCATTGTGTCAGTACCGCAACCAATAAAAATAGATAGTAAAGGCTGATCTTACCAATTCCGATTAACCTAATCAATCGATTGTTACATTGAAACTGAGTAATCACGGTTGACACTTAATTGATCGATTAGCTTAATCGGAGTTGGTGAGACCAGTCTTCAAAGATTTTAATTCAGCTAGGGATCTAGCAGGAAAACGAACATCCTGTATCGTAGGTTTTAACCTGCTGTTGGCACTTCTGCAATTTTGATTGTCGATTAATTTAACTAGAAACTTCTGATGACAGTTGGTGAAAGATGGTGAAAGAGGGAAAACTTTAAAAGTTGTGGATATTACGTAGTATTGTTTGCGACAATAACCATGTGTAAGTACACGTAGCCAATTTTTGATTATTTTAAAACATTTTATGCCGCCGATGCGATTATCTTAACCGCTTTTTTTCCGAATGTCACAGCATCAGCGACTCTTATTAAGCGTCAGTTAACCAACGTGATAAACAAATTCAAATTTGAGGAATTGGAAAGTGCCGTGATACCCGTTTTTCCAGAGACATCGTGGGCTCGCGTCAGATCCAAATTGATTAAGAATCACAAGAATTTTACGGTATCTAATGTGGTGCACGTTATCCGGGACATTCTTGACGTAAGAATCACTTCCTATAACCTCTTTGCCTGAAACTTAAACATTTACAATAGCGTAATATTTTTACGTCTGATTTATTTATAGAACGCAGATTTAAGTTTGAAAGATTTACATGACAGATTGACAACGCTAGAAGTGACAGGTAAGTTTACAATCATAAATACTAATCCTTGGAGCTGAAAATTCTATAACACTGACACTAAAATTCTTATAGTTTATGTTAATTAAATGATACTGATTAATCCTCCATTGGCTATGTGAAATTTTGAACCTTCTGTTAGCAACTTAGGTTGCTACAATATTAGGTTCCTATTTCTGAAAAATTTACATATGTAAAACTAAGAAATAATACAATATATGTAAAATATATACTATAGTATTTTCCTACTTTTATGTATACAATATTTTTCAAGAATGGGGACTCTGAGTTTCTTTGACAGTCTCTGAGCTTCAGTATAAATTTTTGTGTTGTTTCAGATTGTATAAAAATCTGAAAAAAATCTTGCATACTTATGAAAAAATTGTAAAAAGTTTTTCTATCATAAAAATCAGATTGCATTTTATTTATTTTTAATGATAAAAACTTGTATGAATAACAAGGCCTAAAAATCATTTTGTGTATTAATTAATGAAGCTTTAAGTAATTGAACTTCATAATTTTTGTTCATTGTTTATTCGTACAGTTTTTTTTATTTATTTTTCATGTACAGATATATTTGAATTTATCTACCAGTAGAATTTACCAGAATCAAAACATCGACTATAGCTTCAAAATTTAACTTGGCCAGCACAGGATTAATTTCAAGGAACTAAAATGATATAACTCATAAAAAAGAATTAATATTAAGTATATTTAAATAAAAGTAACCCCAATTTGTAAATGTAACATAAAGGCTGCGTTCCACTTAACATTCATAACTCGCGAGTATCGTTTGTCCTTGTTTAACATTTGATAAACGACAAAGATGAAATGATTCTACAAGCGTTGTGAGCGTTAAATAGAACACAGTCAAAGAAAATTGAATTATTTGACATTTTATGAAAAAGAAATTTACGATTGAATGGGTCCAATAGATCCACTATCAGTTCTGGATTAAATTCAAATTTATGAAATAAAATTTATGAGAAATATTAATATCAACTTATGAAATAATGATCTTTTAGATATAAGCAGACATAGCTATAGAAAAATATGGTACGGATATAAATTGTTAGAATTGAATAGAGAGTTGAGGCATCTTGATAGACAAGAGATACAGGAAGATATCAAAGAGGAATTTCATTCGAAGGATTTGGATGTGAACATAAAAGCTATAATGTACGATAATATCGTGTTTATATCTGTCAAGGAGAAGAAAAAGAAAAAGAAAGTACAACACATCACGCCAACTTATTTTGCCTTGTTTTTCGAACAAAAGTATTTTTTTTGCTCAAAGAAGAATGTATCAATTGACTATATAAAAGTGATAGCTAGCAATCTAGGTTATAATAATAGCAAAAGAATCAAGCTGATGGGCAGGGACCTTAAATCTTTAATAAAATTATTATGGATTAAACATCAAAATGTTTTACAAGCTGAAGGTATTAGTCAACCACCTGTTTATCAACCGTCTGAACCTGTCATCAGGTAATTCTTGAAATGTATTTTGTTTTTTTTTTCTTTGTGGATACATTTGACGCTCCATGTATATACTATGAGATTTATTAATTGTATTCAACACACTGTATTTTATACACTATAATATATGTGTAAACCTTGTTACAGTAATAATGGCGTGGATTATACGCAGAGCAAACAACGAAAAAAATATGCAGAACAGTGTTTCGGCAAAGATCCTCCGATTCTAGAGAAGCTTATTATAAAAGGGTCAGAGGAATCTATAAAACATGACAGTGTAGCTTCGAAGTTGCCTAATAATACTATACGTATAAAGTAAGAAAATTTTTTTACACACATCCGAGACCTATTTGTATATTTTAATTTGAAACTTCTGTTTTAGCTGGGAATTTCATAGTCGCAATATGGGTAAATTTTTAACTGCCTTAATTGAAAGACGCGTGTTCATGCCGCCATTACCTGAGTATATATCTAATTTTATGATAATGGGAAAAAATGAATTAACACTTCAGACTGAGCAACAAGCTCAGTCATAAGTATGAATTTTTTTGTAATAACAAAATTAAACATTGACATTTTAAGACCGGCTACACACGTTCAAGCAATTTCTCAAATTTACTTGAACATGACTGAGACTTAAGACTCTCTTTGATATAAAGAATATTATATTGTATTATATATCCGTAATATGATCAAATATTATTTTTGTCATTTCCGTTTTTTACAACTTTAAAATAACTCCTTTTTTAAAGTTATGATGATTTTTACAGCTGATTTAAATATTTCATGCATGAAACATTTAAATCAGCTGTAAAAAATTTTAAATATTTATTAAACAATGTGCAAAATTGTATCGAAAATTATATAGATCGATTTGAATTGTACATGAATTGTATTTTAACATAACGTGAATATTAGTTAAATTTGTAAATAGTACATTGTGACAACAGAGCAATAATAAAAATTAATAATTAGTCGGTCCTTCGAGTTCAAACTAAAAATAAAAGAAGAATGCAAAATATTGTATTAAATTTATTATATAACTTTATTACATAGAAATGACATTAAAAGCCTCTGTTACAATAATAAAGTAAGTTTGTTAAAAGTCCAAATGTGTAATGTTTATCCTACATGCTATTTTACTGATAACTCACTTGTGCCATACATATGATAGTCAAGTAAAGCGTAACGGGATTCGTTATTGTTATGTGATAAGGGGATATTAGATATTATTCAATATATAACTCTTGTTTATTATGAAAATTATATCATTGTTTCTGTGCATCTTTTTAGCTAGCACTCATCAGTCTTCGTCAGATTCCTCTTCGTCAGACGTTACATCAGGATCATTTGCTTGCGCTTGACATTTGTCGCAATGACAAACAAACAGATACAAAGAGCTCAGTGCCTGTTGCCTGGAATGTCTACTCCTCTCGAGCTGGCATTCGTCGAGGTAACTTGTACAGATTTCCTCGCCAACTTTTATATTTCGTATTGCTTTTAATACTAAAGTGTTATTTGAATAAGGGAATTCAACAACTGCATTTGGTATGCAACTGTGATTTACTGACGACTGTAGAACATAGAGTCCAGACCCTTCATTATTCAGAAATGGGCCTACCGCTGTGAAAGAAATTTTCAGAAGTTATATGAATATTTATTGAACGCTCTAGAGAAAAATAAATTATAAAGATAAAAATTACCTTCGTCCATTGCATCATAAATTCTCTCTATCAACTTATCAATGTAAATTCTTTCGTCTTTGGGCAATTCTAAAGCGGAAACATTTTTCACCCAGCGGCTGAATGAACTAGTACCAATTCCTTGTCCGTTTGTTCCCACTAAAGCTAATAAACTTCTAAAACCATCTGGTGTGAACCACTAAAAACAAGTTCCAATTAACATTAGCATACATATAACAATAATATATGTATATTACACACATGTGCGGTGTACTCAGTGTTAAGAGCCTCCTTCATCATTTGCTGAAGGATATCAATCTGGCCTACAAACTTTTCGCCTAATAGATAGTGTACAATTTCGTGCGTATCATTGGAAACGGTACGATGGCAAAACTGTGAAAACATTGCTAAAGCTTCCTCCTTGTCATTTGCTTGATTAACTACAGCAACCATCCTTGCTAGTAACATGATTGATGCACTTTCAGGTGGATAATGCATTTGTTTCCACGTTTCACATAATTGATTGAGAGAATGGCTCTCATCCTTGATTTTCCCTTGTAAACACAGTGTACTATGATATCTGAAAAACAATAAACAAGTAATAATATAATAAAAATTACAGCAAACGTAAAAGTTAATTGTAGTTATAAATTGATGACCAGTAAGTCTAAGACACAATTATGTGAACGACTAAAAATAAACAAATTTTATAATACAAATAATTATGCTTATAATTGGTTACAAATTATAGAACTGATTTTCATTTTTTGAGATCACCTTCAGTTGATAACTTTTAGTGGATATGGAGTCTGTTATGGATTCATACTGATTACTGATTTGTAACTACATTTGAAAGTATTTGATTCGTAATATGTTAACAAATTAAATTTCGTTTAATTATATCGCTTCCTTACTGCAAAAGTAACACAATTAAAGAATTACTCAAGTTTTTGCTATGAATGAATTAAACACTACCCATTGTCAAAAGTCAACTAACTTAACTTTATAAAAAATCAAAATTGTTACAAATTTGAAAAAGGAGTTCTTTTAAGATTATGAAAAACAAGAATGACAAAAATATTTGATCATGTTGAGGATATATTTACCGGATCTTATATTTTGGACTGTCTTAAGATGTTATGAACCGATCAGAAAACCGCGTATTAGCATCTTAAGACGGTCTTAAAATAAGAACTGATTATAAATACCGTCCATATATATTTTTTTGCTGATACTATTTCATTAGTCAATAATTTTCTGTCAAGTTGAGAAGTAATTTTTCTTCTTATCTAGAAAACTAAATTTTTTTAGTTGTTATTCTTTAAGTAAGAAAGTAATATCATATAAAGTTTAACTTGTAATCACCTCTGAAATGCTTCGTTCTGACATTCTACGCTGCAGTACTTGACCCCGCATTGATGGCATTCGGTTATTAAACTCTTGTTTACTTCACAGCATTCCTTGTGTGGTACAACAAAGTTTGGATTACCCGTTAGCCTACGGACATTCTCCTCTGCTGTTTCCAATGGTTTCAGACAGTTGTCACACGCCAAGTATCCAAACTGAGAGTTCCACAGGAACTGACAGCATATCACGGGTTTTTCCTCGAGTATCACATCCCCTTCCTTAAATGCGCGATTAGAGAACAACCCTTTGCCCTGCAAGATGAATGCACGAATTAATTATCCATGATGATGTCTTAAGAACTGGATCATAAAATAATTTGCTGTGTGACATTTTTTATCAATTATATCTTATATATATCTGTTTAATTAGATAGTTTTATCTATTATAATTTATCTAATATCACGTCTGATAATTATACTTTCTTCATCATATGATTATTTAAATGTTTGCATAATTATTGTAAATGAATTTATTAGTAAATCTAAAATATTGTCAGATATTGTACTCAATAGCTATTATTATTATTATCAGACGTCCTATTTTTGAGGTAATTGTTTCACTGTCCCATCATATACGTCAAATATGAATTATACTATTTTTTTTTAATTAATTGTTATTATTGAATTTATCTTTATGCCCCTGGTGAAAATTGTTTAATTTTTTAGAACTTCTGAATAACTACACTCAAGTCAAACCAGGACTTTTAATCTTGAATACAAGAAGAACACATTCTGTTAATTACAAGTGAATACTACTGTCATCAAATTTTAAAGGATGTGCATAATACTCTCAAGAAAAAACAGCCTAATTTGATGAAACGCGTTTTGTTATTGCAGGACAGTGCATGTCTTTACACAGCTATTACAGAAACTCAGCTGGAAATTAATATCCTCCTTACAATTATAACCTTATTCCAAGTGATTTCTATCTGTTTGAATCATTAAAGGAATTTCTGGGAGATCGTTTTAGCAGTGGCATAAAACAGGCAATCTGAACATAACTCCAGTGTACTAAGAAATCTTTCTATGCCATTCAAACACTGGTGAAACATTGGAATAAGTATAATTAGTATAGCAGAGGATCACATCAAGAAATAAAGATAGTTTGCATTGTCATATATGTATTCTGTTATTCTGTATAATCAAAAGTCAGTTTCATTTGAACATATATAACTTTATATAAAATTTCTCATCTTTTTCATACAAACTAAGACACTTTTTAGAAGTATGAAGAAAATCTATATCTTCCCTTCTAGAATTCTTTATACATATGAATTTTGAAAAATTCTTGATGAAATTTTATAAAATCTCTAAATAAATAAAATCTTAAACCCATAAAAATTTAAGATATTATTTCAGAAATTATAGAATGAGAAATCTTAGTGTATTTCAAAATTCACAAATTAAAAAAAAATTCCAAGATTAATTTTCTCAGTATTTCTGAAAAATATTTCAATTCGTATAAAAAGAAAAATGCACCAGAGCATAAAGATGCAACCTGCTAACATACATTCCCCCTCCCTTCCCCCCTCCCCTTGATTTTATCCCGCTTTATATTTTAATTGTCATAGGAAAGAACCACACGACGAATCATTGAAATGGCATGCAGATTTAATCGAAAATATGCCTCACTTTCTCGTCGTTCACCAGCTTGATGAAGAAGCCCTTATCCGCCATAACCTCGTCGTCGATCATCATACCGAGCGAGCAATACACCGGGCGGAGGAAAAAAACAAACCTACCGTACAATTGATGAAATACATTCGAATCCTAACCTTACCACGAATGCGATTCAATGACCGCCATGAAGGCTGTCACGGATAATGAGTGCACTACTCGAATCAAATCACTCACTTGCTCCGCGAGACTCACTTCTATTTCCTTCCAATTCGCGTTGTTTGCGGGCAACGTGTACTAAATCGCGCTATATAAACATTCGGAGAAATGTAATAAATACAAATTTTTCGCTCGGTCTCGCGGTGTTCCCGATAAATGTTCAACAAGGAAGTTAGCGCAGCTTCCGGCGCGCGGGGGGTACTTCCGCAAAGAAGAAGTGCCGTACTGCAGTGCTATCGACTCGTCGCGTGTTTCGTGGTTTCGTCAAGGAATTTTCGACAGATTCTAATCCTAGGCCTCCCACGTCCGCCCAGGAACGGCTCTCGTGGAATGATGAACGGAACGATGGCCATGGTAAACTTCCCTTCCTCGCGGCGAACGCCGCCTTTTGTCCACCAGTGATGTGGCTAATCCTTTGGCGGCCTAATGGCGATCGCAGATGTCTATGTTAATTGACACGGTTTATCAATCGTCAACCGCGTCGCATTTGATGCTTTGGACTGATATTACACGTGTCGCACGACACATTTTTCAAGTCTGTTAATTGACTGCAGGACAGAGATGGAGATAGAATAATGTGTCACTAATGTACATTTCTATCAATGTAGTTTACTTCAATTTTGATTTATTCTTTATCCATTTTTAATTGAAAAAGAATTTAGAATTAAAAAAGATAAAAGTAAGTTATATCAAGATTAAAATGAATTTATATTAG